CGGGAATGGATTAACAATGAATTGACAAATGTATGCACACCATGGAATGAATATTATTCAGTCACAAAAAGGATGCTGACTTCACATCTTTTGTAATATCCAGGATGGAGTTCTCACATTCTTCTTAGTAAAGTATCACAAGAAGGGAAAGGCAATTATCCAATGTACTCAATACTCATATGAAGCCAGTAGATGATCTGATGCATGCCCACATAGGAGAAAAATTCATTTCAATCCAATTTGGGGGAAGGGGTAATGAGGAAGGAGGAAGGGGAGAGGGTTAGGATGCTCTCACTGAATGGGCATGGGATGGGGGTGTTTGGAATACCTTTTGTGTGGGAGACATAACCACAAGAGGGACTCTACCTACAAAATCAAATATTTTGACCTGGTTATTTGTACCCTCACATTAACCTGAAGTAAATTTAAAAAAAAAAATTGTTAATTTCCTAAGACTCCATTTGAATGTGAGACAGAAGGGATTTGGAATTAATAGGAAAATAGGTTTTCCCCCCATTCAGAGATATAAATAAGAAAAAAGTTTTGAGAGCGAAGAAACATTTTAAAGGTAGAGAGAGAGGTTTCATGTAAAATTGTTCCTCCTGCCAAAGGAGAGAAATATAGGAGACATTTTTTTTTAAATTGATCAGCACTTTAGCTCCTGACTGCATTTCTCTCAGAAGCATTTAATACCGTTGGATCCCAAGGAAAGCAAGAAAAAACTTGTTTAAAATTCAAGGCCATGTATTTTTCAGGAAACAATACATCCCCCCCCCCCAATACATGTTCAGTGTTGTTGAGTTTTGTTTTTTTATTCTGAAGTATAAGGAATCTATATGTTCTCATCTGCTGGAGATGTAGTTGGTGAAGTTAGAGAAGTGAGTTAAAGAAATAGAAAAGCATATAAGGGAAACTTGGGAGCTTGATCAAGAATTTTCTATGAAGAGAAAAGTAATTCTGCAATTGAGAGATGCAAGATGAACTGCCAAAGTCAGAGATCATAGAGAGGGTGTCAGAAAAATCCATGGCAGCATGTGGGTGCTCATGGACCACCCAAACGTCACCTAATCAAGGTAGTATTAAATACCACCAACTCCATGAGAATGGTTTGCAAGGACAATGGTCACAGAGCCTTCCTTCCATAAACGGACCCAGGCAAGTCAGAGATGGATACCCCACTTCTGAACATCTGCTTTTGCTTTGCACACATTCTCTGCCCTGCCATTGGTGGAAAAGTAGATGAGGAGTAGTAGGGGTGGGATAAAGTAACATAAAGACGAGGGGGGAAGGAGAGGGGAGTGCTATGTGGTGTTTATTAAAATCTACGTCGGGCACATTGGCTAATGCCTGTAATCCCACCACTCTGGGAGGCCGAGGCAGGTGAATCGTCTGAACTCACTGGTTCAAGACTATTCTGAGCCAGAGCAAGACACCATCTCAAAAAAAAAAAAAGAAGAAGAAGAAGAAAAAAAAAATAGCTGGATGTTGTAGCAGGCACCTGTAGTCCCAGCTACTCGGGAAGCTGAGGCAAGAGAATCGCTTGAACCCAAGAGTTTGAGGCTGCTGTGAGCAATGACGCTATGGCACTCCACTGAGGGCAACAAAGTGAGACTCTGCCTAAAATAAATAAATAAATAAAATCTGTGCCACTAAGAAAATAATTCTTAATGATTCTTAGTCATCTCTCCCCCAAATCAGTGGAAATTTCTGACTCTCCTTGAAGACATTAATGGAAATAGAGTGTCACGGCCGAGAAAAGTCGATTCAGTTATAAAATAGATTTCATGGTTGTACAGCTTGCATCTGGTTTACTATTCCTGTACTTCTCCCTATGTGAAATTTCTATATTTTAATTGAAATTTTAAAATCTCATCACTCTTCCTCACTAACCTATAGTATGTATATCTGTCTGTGTGCTCTCATCAGATTAGAGGCACACACTAAATATTAAATGAAAACATGGCTTTTATCCGAAGTTACATATGTACGTAGGTGTATCTTATGGATGTCCAGCAAGCATCCAGCCACTGTTAAGACCACTTTTCACAATACATGGCTGGATATTTTCTGAACAGAAAATTTCTGTGGCTTAGGCTGGCATGCCTGTTAATCACAGAATTCTTTCTGACTGAGGCTGAGCAGAATTTCAGAATCCTTCCTAGGAAAGTTGGCAACTTTATGATCTATGACCTAAGCCCAAACTCTACTTTATAAATGGGAAGATAGAGGCTGAGATAAGGGTCTCTGTATGATCCTCTACTGTGATCCAAGTTATCTACGTGAGTGGTCTACCACCAGAGAGACAAGCTAATTATAGCTCCTCATTTCACAAATGAACACATTCTGTCTTCAAGAAGGAAAATGGCTTGCCCCAAAGTAAAGTAATATGTTACACGGTTAGAGACCATGAAGCAAGACTGTTTCATTTCAGTGGAGAAAATCTGCTAAGGGGAAGAAAAACAGAAAAAAGAAGCAATAATAACAGTGAAGAATGTCCAGAATTACCACAACATTCTGCAAAGGGATCGCAGCAGTGAATTTTGTGCATGTGTGGTGGTGGTAGCCTTAGTTATCATGAATGTATTCACATCTTCTCTGGACATGGATCTGTGGTCCAGGAATGTCATTAAGTAGGTGTTACTAGCCAATGTTTGGATATAAACTGGATGTTAGGTGGTCGCTGGATTTGAGACACCTTCGATAATATTTTCTTTCTTTTTCTGCTAGTGAATCATGCCTTCAGCTCTTTAAAACTTCAGTTTGGTATTTTTAAAAAGAGAATTCTGGAGGCACTTTGTGTTATCATTTTGCCTAGGTTGCATCAGAGCATCGCTGAGATTAAGGTAATCTATACCTTAATCTATCTAAGACAAATAAATACATGTATTCCTCACTCTCCCTTCTTGTGATGCTGCATGATTCCTGAAGTATAGTTTTATGCAACCCAACACAAAAACTTTCCTGAACGCCTAGATGCAACTGAAACGTTAGCTCCTTACTTACAGTGACTTAGATAAATGTATTTATGTATTACTAACTATTCAAGTCTTTAATCCACTTTGAGTTGTTTTTTTTTTGTATATATGTGATGTAAGGGTCCAATTTCATTCTTTTATGTGTGGATATCCAGTTTTCCCAGAATCTTTTATTGAAGAGACTGCTGTTCCACACATTGCATGTTCCTGGGATATTTCTAGAATATTGATTGATCTTAAATATGTTGATTTATTTCTGGGCTCTCCATTCTGTTTCATTGGTATATGTGACTTTTTATGCCAATACCATGCTGTTTGATTACTATAGCTTTGTAGTGTATTTCAAAGTCAGGTAGTGTGATGCCTCCAGCTTTATTCTTTTTACTCAGGATTGCTTTGGCTATTTGAGGTCTCTTGTGAGTCTATATAAATTTTAGAATTTTTTTTTCTATTTCTGTGAAGAATGCCATTGATATTTTGATAGGAATTGCATTGAATCCATAAACCATTTTAGGCAGTATTGTCATTTTATCCATATTAATTTTTCCACTTTGTTAAGCATGGAATATCTTTCCACTTTTTCATGTTACCTTCAATTTCTTTAATCAGTGTTTTATACTTTTCCTTGTTTAGATCTTTCACTTCAGTGGTTGAATTGATTTCTAGATATTTTTTATTCTTTGTAGTTGTTGCTAATGGGATGACTTTCTTGATTTTTTTTCAGATTGTTCTCTGTTGGTTCACATAAATGTGACTGATTTTGAAGGCAGCAATAAAAAAGAAGCATGTCAAATATAAGGTTAAAGAGATCATTTTTTTAATACTTGAGTCTTGCTATAGGTGTATCCTGTAATTTTACTGAATTTGTTAATCAGAATTGAATGAATTGAATTTAGAATATTTTGTATATGTCCATTAGGTCCATTTGGTTTAAGATATACTGTAACTCCATTGTTTTCTTTTTGATTTTCTGTCTGGATGATCTGTGGATTATTAAAAGTGACATATTGAAGTCCCCTATTATAACTGTATTGCTTTCTGTTTCTTCCTTCAGATCTATTAATATTTGGTTTATAAATTTAGGTGCACTAATGTTGGGTGCATATGTATTTATAATTGGGATGTCTTCTTGATGAATTGACACTTTGTCATTATATAATGACTTCCTTTGTCTCTTTTTATAGTTTTTTGCCTTACTATTTTTTCTCATGCGGATATAACTATCTTTACTTTCTTTTGATGATTATTTGAGTAAATTTTTTTTTTTATCCCTTCACTTTTAATCTATGTGTGTCATTAACAATAAAGTGAATCTCTTGTTGGAAGCATATAATTGGGTAAAATCCATTTATTCACAAAATTAGATAATTTAATCCATGTATATTCAAGGTAATTATTGATAGGCAAGGACTTCTTATTGCCACATTGTTAATTGTTTTCCAATTGTTTTTTAGATTCTTTTTTTTCTCTCTTCCTCTCTTTTGTGGTTTGATGATTTCTATCATGGCATTCTTGGGAACCTTTCTTTTTAATCTTTTGCTTATCTATTATAGGTTTCTGTTTGTTTACCATGAATCTTATGTAAAATAATTTAACACAAGCTATTTGAAACCGATAGCAACTTAATTCTGAACACATAAAAACTCCACATTTTTACTATGCCTCCACTTTTGTTTTTGATGTCAGTATTTACTTTTTTTACACTGTGAATTTTTAAACAAATTGTGGTAGCTATTATTATTATTATCATTTTTTTGGTGCTGACATTGTTTATTAAATGTCCTTGCTGTCTGTCCCTGCAAGCCAGAAGTCCCTGGGGACAGTAGGACTTCAATAGCACCTCCAGGAGGAGGCCAGGACAGTGTGGGGAAAAGCTGGTGGGCACTCCTGGCCTCTCTCCCCACCTAGCTCCAGGCAGCACATTCCTCTGTATTGCCTTGGCGGCTGATGTCTTCACAGCTGGCTGCACCACTCCTGGGGATGAGTGGGGTCTGCTGATGGGCAGGTCCACGTTGAGCCCCGGGTCTAACTGCTGGTCCACCAGGAAAGGTGGCCCAGGCCTGGCTCACTGATGGATCCCACCAGTGCGTATGGGGCCTCCTTCTTCGGCAGCTCCTCACGGGAAGTGGTAGCCTCAGCCGAGCTGGGTCCTGTTGGGGACGTACCCACAAAGCTCTGGTCCACGACCTGGAAGTGAATCTCCTCACCAGTGTCCATGTACAGGTCGTGTGCTCCTTCCTCTGTCTCATATTCCCACACCCACACCTGCTCTGCATCGTCAAACTTGGCTGGCTGCTGCAGCGACTCCGGAGGGATAAGGATGTCATCGAAGAACCCTAGAGAGACGTGTACTCCCTCGGGGCTACAGCCTTTGATCTTCCCAATCAGAATCTCGTCCAGGAAAGGATGGAAGACCACATAGGGAAAATGGACTTTGGTGTGTGACATGTCATCCCCTGGCGACACGTAGGCATCCTCCAGTTTGGTGATGGCAAACAGACAGATGCAGAGTCCCACGTTGTACACAACCTTGTTGGTTAACTTCTTGTTCAGCTCCTCGGCAATGGAGTTGTTGAGCTTCCTCTCCAACTGCCACAGTGGGATTCCCACGGTGTCCGCCATCTCCACCAGGATGAACATCCCAGCTTGCGCTGGGGCTCATGCTATAGCTGGTAGCTATTATTTTTAATAATTTTGTCTTTTAACCTTCATACTAAGAATATGTGATTTACACAGAGTCATTATAGTATTATGAATTTGACATGTCTTACTCTTTCTTACCAGGGAGTTTTATTCTTTTATATGTTTTAGTGTTTCTAATTAGCATTCTGTGCTTTTAGCTTAAAGAACTCCCTTACCATTTCTTGCAAGGCAGGTAGTAGTGATGAACTTCCCTCCTCTTTGGTTTAGGAAAATCCTTCATTTCTGAAGTGTAGCTTTGCTAGGTAATGTATTTTTGGTGGCAGCTTTTTTCTTTCAACATTTTGGACATATCATTCTACTCTTTCTTGTCATGTAAGGTTTCTGCTGAGAAATCTGGTAATAACCTTATTTAAATCTTCTTATATTTGACATGCTTCTTTTTTCTTGCTGCCTTCAAGAACTTTTCTTTGTCTTTCATTTTTGAGAATTTGATTATGTCTTGGTGTAATTTTGATTAAATCTGATTGAAGAATTTTGAATTTGCTGGCCTGAATATCTTTCTCCAAATTTGAAAAGTTTTCTATTATTATTATTATTATTATTAATTTCAAAATATTAAGGGAGCACAAATGTTTTAGGTTAAATGGATCATTTTTTTTAAATACTTGAGTCTTGCTATAAGTGTGCCTGTCAGCAAATAGTGTTTGTATGTACCCATCAGGTTGGTTAGGTCCCCCTCACCTTCTTGCCCCCAGCCCACTGGTTGCTTTACGGTGAGTTTTACTTCTTTCTGTGTACATGTGTGCTCATCAGTTCCAATTTAATAATGAGTACATGTGGTATTTGTTTTTCCATTCTTGAGATACCTCACTTAGGAGAATGATCTCTAGTTCATCGAGATTGATGTAAAATGTATTAATCTATCTTATTTGTGGCCAAGTAGTACTCCATGGTGTACATGTATCACATTTTATTACCACTCATGAACTGATGGGCACGTGGGTTGACTCCACATCTTTACAATTGTGAATTGTACTGCAATAAACATTCAAGTGCAGTTGTATTTTTGATGAAATGACTTCTTTTCCTTTGGGTAAATGTCCAGTAGGGGGATTGCTGGATCAAATGGTGTGTCTACTTTAGTTCTTCTTGGAATCTTTACATACTATTTTCCATAGAGGCTATACTCATTTGAAGTTCCATCCACAGTGTATAAGCCTTCCTTTCTCTCTGCATCCATGCCAGCATTTACTGTTTCTGGAGTTTTTAATAAATGCCTTCTAACTGGGATAAGGTGATATTGTGGTTTTAATTTGCATTTCCCTGATGATTAGAGATGTTGAGCATTTTTTACATTTATTGTCCATTTATCTTTCTTCTTTAGAGAAGCTTCTGTTCTTGTTTTTTGCCTACTTTTTAATAGGATTATTTGTTTTTTTCTTGCTGATTTGCTACAGTTCTTTGTAAACTCTGATTATTAGTCCTTTATCAGATATGTAGTTTGTGAATATTTTCTCTCATTCTGTAGGTTGTCTATTTGCTTTGTTGATTGTTTCCTTAGCTGTGCAGAAGATTTTTAGTATAGTCAAATGGACTTTATGAATTTTTGAAGTTGCCATGATTGCCATTGGGGTCTTTTTTCATAAATTCTTTGTTTACACCCATATCTAAAGAGTTTTTCTTGTGGATTCATGCCTTGGATCTAAGTCTTTTATACATTTTGAGTTAATTTTCATAAGTGGTGAGAGGTAGGGATCCTGTTCCATTCTCTGCATGTGGCTCTCCAAATTTCCCAGCACCTACTGATTAGGGCTTCTTTACCCCAGTATACATTGTTGTCTGTCAAAGATCAGTTGGTTGTAGGTGAATGGTTTTATATAGAACTTCTCTGTTCTGTTCTATTGGTCTATCTCTCTCTCTTATCAAAATCATGCTGTTTTGATTACTAGCCTTAAGGTATAAGTTTGAGGTCTGTTAATGTGATGCCTCCAGATTTGTCCTTTTTGCTTAAGACTGCTTTAGCTATTTGGTCTCTTTCCTGGTTCCAAACAAAGCATAGAATTATTTTTTAGATTTATGAAGGGTGACTTTGGTAACTTCATGGGGATTGCGTTGAATTTATAAATCACTTTGAGTAGTATGGACATTTTACCAATGTTGAGTCTACCTATCCATGAACATGGTATGTTTATTCTCTGTGATTTCTTTCCTCAGAGCTTCATAGTTCTCCTTGTAGAGATCTTTTGGCTTCTTTGTGAAGTATATTCCTAAGTATTTTAATTTTTTGTAGCTATTGTGAATGGTATTGAGTCTTTGATTTGACTCTTGGCTTGACTATTATTAGTATATAGAAATGCTGCTCATAAATTGATTTTGTATCCTGAGACTTTGCTGAATTTATGTATCAATGCCAGGAGACTCTTGGTGGAATCTTTGGGGTTTTGTAGATACAAGATTACCTTGTCAGCAAAGAGTGATAGTTTGATCTTCTCTTTCCTGATTTGGACGCATTTATTCTCTTGCCTGATTGTCCTGGCTAAGACTTCCAACACTATGCTAAACAGGAGTGGCAGTGGGTATCCTTTTCTTGTTCCAGTGCTTAGGGGGCGGACTTTCAACTTTTCCCCATTCAGTATGATGTTTACTATGGGTTTCTCATATGTGGCTTTTATAACTCTGAGATATCTTCTTTCTATGTCTAGTTTGTTGAAGATTTTTTTATTGTGAAAGCGTCCTGGATTTCGTCAAATGCTTTTTCTGCATCTATTGAGATGATCATATGATCTTTGCTTTTGCTTTTATTTATGTGGTGAATCATAATTATTGATTTACATATGTTGAAACACCCTTGTATCCTGAGGATGAAGCCCACTTCATCTTCATGGATTATTATTAATTTTTCTTAATGTGCTGCTCAGTTTGATTTGGTAGTATTTTATTCAGGATTTTTGCATCTACATTCACAGGGGATATTGTTCTGTAGTTTTGCTGTTGTTGTTGTTTTTGTATCCTTTTCTGGATTCCATATCAAGGTGATACCAGCTTCACAGAATGAGTTGGGGAGGATTCCCTCCTTCTCAATACTATAAAATAATTTTTGTATTATGGGTACCAGGTCTTCTTTGTAGGTCTGATAGAATTAAGCTGTAAATCCATCTGGCCCAGGGCTGTTTTTGTTGTTGTTAAGAGATTTTTTACTTTTTTATTACTGATTCAATCTTTTGTGTTCATCATTGGTTTTCTCAGGTACTCTATTTCTTCCTGACTGAGCCTTGGGAGATAGTGTGTTTCCAGGAATTTGTCATTGCTTATATATTCTCTAGTTTATGCACATAGAGATTTACATATTATTTATGGATGATATTTTGTATTTCTGCAGTTACCAGTTATAATGTCACTTTTTTCAATTTGATGAATTATTTGGGTCATTTTAATTCCATTCTTGGTTAATCTATGAAGAGGTATGTCAATTTTATTTATCTTTTCAAAGAAGCAACTTTTATTTCATTAATCCTTTATATATTTTTTTCAAATTCATTTAGTTCTGCTCTCACCTTGATTATTTCTATTCTATTCTTTTGCTGTATTTGGATTGTTCTTTCTTTTCTAGTTCTTTCAGCTGTGACAATAGGTTGTTAATTTCTGATCTTTCTGTCTTTTTGATGTAGGCATTTAAAGTTATGAATTTCCCCTGAGGAATGGTTTTATTGTGTTCCGATGATTTTGATAGGTTATGTCCACTTTGTTGTTCAGATCAGAGAATTTTTTAATTTACATTTAATTTAATTTTGATCCCATAATAGTTGAAAAGCAGGTGACTTTGTGTAGGTTTCAGTGTTTCTTTCACAATTGAGTCACAGTTTTATTCCATAGTGGTCTGAGAAGGTACATGGTATGATTTCAATTTTTAAAATTTTTTGAAACCTATTTTGTGGCCTAAGATATGATCAATCTTGGAGAATGTCACATGTGCTGCTAACAGTGTGTATTCTATAGTTTTGGGGGTAAAATGTTCTGTAAATGTCTGTTAGGTCCATTTGATTTAGAGTTTGGTTTAAGTCTATAATTTCTTCACTTATTTTCTATTTTGATGATTCGTAGAGCTCTGACAGTGGGCTGTTGAAGTCCCTGGCAAGAACAATGGTGCTATTTATTCCTTTCCTTAGCTGTACTATGATTTGCTTTGTATATCTGGAAGCTTCTATGTTGGATGCATATATGTTTATTATTATGTCTTCTTGTTGAATTTCTCCCTTTACTACTATATAATGACTCTATTTGTCATTATTTATGTTTGTTAGCTTAAAGTCAATTTTATCTTATAGAAAAATAAGATACCTACTCTCTCTCTCTTTTTTTTTTTTTCTTTTTGGCCAGGGCCAGGTTTGAACCCGATGCCCCCAGTATATGGGGCCCGGCACCCTACTCCTTGAGCCACAGGCACCACCCGATTACGTACTCTATTGATTTCCATGCCCATGGAATATTTTTCCCTATACTTTCACACTGAATCTGTATGTGTCCTTGTGGTTTAGATGTGTTTCCTGGAGACAGCTGATACTTGGGTAGTGTTTTTTCATCCATTCAGCCGGGCTGTGTCTTTTGAGAAAAGAATCTATTCCATTCACATTGATTTATAGCATTGATATGTCAATGCTTGTTGGCTTGTTGATCTTGTTGTATAGTCCCTTACTGCTTTTTTTTTTAACCCTCTTGTTCTACTGTTTTATATGAGTTGTGAGTTTGGGGGCTTTTTAAGGTGAATTTACAGTGGTGAGTATCTGTTGTGCTGATTTGTATATAGTGCTGTTCTGAGTATTTTGTGCAGAGCATGTCTGGTCATAGCAAACTCCCTCAGTGTCTGTCTGATTAGAAAACATTTAGTTGCTTTGTCTTTTGTGAAACTTAGTTTTGCGGGATACAAAACTCTTGGCTGGCAGTTGTTCAGTTTAAGTCAATTGAAGATGGGGCCCCAAGCCCTTCTGGCTTGTAAGAAAGTTTACTTCTGCTGAGAAGTCTGCAGTTAGCCTGATGGATTTTCTTTTGTAGGTTATTTTATGCTTTCATCTTGCTATTTGCAGAATTTTCTCCTTCATTTGACTTTTGCCAGTTTGATTACTATGTGCCTTGGAGATGAGCTATTTACTATGAATATTCCTGGTGTTCAATGTCCATCTTACATCTGTATGTCTGAATTCCTAGTGATGTCCAGGAAATTGTCTTCATTGATTTTCTCAAATATGTTTTCCATGCTTTTGGGTCCTTTGTCTTCACTCTCAGGCACACCTATAATTCAAATGTTAGTTCACATCATATATTTCCATCTCTCTCTCTTGGTGATTGTTTAGACTTTTATATACTCTGCTGAGTTATCTCAAGAGTGTTGTCTGCAAGTTCTGAGATTCCTTCTTCTCCTTGGTTTATCCCATTATTAAGGCTTTTGACTGAATTTTAAAATTTCATAAATGACTCATTCATTTCTTTAAGTTATATGATATCCTTTCTTATGTTGGCTAGCTCTCAAGTAATGTTTTCATTTTTAATTGATTTTATGAAATATTTTCTAAGCTTTTTTGGTTGGCTTTCAGCTTTCTCCTCAATTCTGATCATCTTATTTGGCATCCATATTCTAAATTACATTTCCATCATTTCAGCAATTTCTTTGTGGGTGGAATCTACTACTGTACCTCATAAAATTATAAAAGAGACTTAATAACCAAAGCAATCTTAAGCAAAAGAGAAAAGAAATTGTCACTCACTCCCAGAATGGGAAAAACTCTAGCAGTGGCTCTACTTTCAAGATGGTGCAAAGCAGCAGCATCACAGCCTGGAGACAGAGGGGCAGAGCCCATGGTTGGATCTTTCTCTGGGGGTAGCTCAGCCTGGGAACTGTGGAGAGTTCCTTCAATTTGGGCTCAGAACCTTTGAGACTGCGGGAGTCTTTGGTAGCAAAGGCTGCACGTGTCTGCAATGGTGATAAGGGCTGCTGAGGTCCTCTTGCCTAACTTTTTCTCATAGAGGGAAGTAGCTCCTGGTTCAGAGCTGATCCCAACTGAGGGGATGGTACCACAGAGTCATAATGTTTTCTTTCCTTACTTATGTGGCTATCTGGGCTTTCTGTGCTCTATAGGATTTATCCTGCTTCTTTGCTGTTCTTTAGTGGTCTTCTTTAGTTATTTTAGTCAAATTCTAGTTGTTTATTTGTCATTTGGGATTTTTTTCACAGGGGGAGGAAGAGTGCTAACTTCTTATCAGCCCTCTCATTGACACCCTATAAATTCTTAACTCCATTCTAAACTTCTCATAAAGATATTTTGTTATGCATATCACTGTTAAATTGTGTTTCTGTGGAGGAGTAGGAGCGGGAACTCTCTATTCCACTATCTTTCTTATGTTACCATATCAAGCTAATCACTTTCTGATTGTTAAACTTTGGAGTTCACTTATCTGTGTTATTTATTTGAGGAATTAAAAATGAGGGTGACAGGCAACTTGCATGGAAATATTTTTAACTCTGAATACATTCTCACCAATGCTAACAACCATTTTTGTGTCCTTAATAAGCTCTTGAATGTTTTAGGGGCTACAAATTGAGGTTACCTGTCAAAATTCTCCAGCTGACTTAAATCAGCCATAGTGGCACTGATCACCTGACAGCAAAGCTCTTACTATCTTCCATATTGGTAAACTGCTTGGGGGTGGGAGGAATGTTGTGAATTTTTTTTTTTTTTTGAGACATCTCAACATACTGATTTTATTTCCTTTGAATATAGACTTAGAAGTGGAATTTCTCAATAATATTGTAGTTCTATTTTTAGGTTTTTGAATAAACTCCATGCTTAATTTCTGCTTTCATGGACATGATGTGAACAAGAAATTCCTCTCTTAATCCCCCCATGTGGTGCCATACAAGGTCTGATTATGCCTACAGGTTGCCAGCCAGCACAATTAGAGCATGATGTTCCAAGAAAGGGTCCATTAATTTGGCCTGCAGGAAGGGCCACCTTTCTTGGAGAACTTGATGTGCTGAGATCTACTGAGGCATGAATGTGCTCTTGACGTTCTCATGTGCCCATGTACTTTATTTTTTCAAATGAAGATGATGTCTCATAGACAGAAATACACTTTCAGATTTGAAAGACCACTTAAAATATAAACCATGATTCCTCATCACATTTTAAATAAATTCTAAAGTCCTTTTTTTTTCTTATTAAATAATAGCTGTGCACATTAATGCAATCATGGGGTACAGTGTGGTGTTTTCATATACAATTTAAAATATTTTCATCAAACTGGTTAACATAGCCTTTAAGTCATTTTCTTAGTTATTGTGTTAAGACGTTTATATTCTACTTTTAGAAAGATTCACGTGTACCTTTGTAAGATAAACCATAGAGGTGTCCCCACCAATCACCCTCCCTCCACCTATTCACCCCCCTCCCCTCCCCTTTCCCTACTCCCTCCCTAAAGTCCTTAATAAGATCTGACGTGTTGTAGCTCACCCTGCCTCTGTGATTTTAGTTTCTTTTATTCATTCACTCACTCTACTCCAGCCACACTAGACTTCTCATTCTTCCTGGAATACCTACCACTTCTACTTCAGGGGCTTTGCTCTTGCTGTTCTCTTACCCTGGAAGATTCTAGACACCTATTTGGCTTAGTTCCTCAGTACAGCTGGTGCTACTCTATGTCACTTCATCAGAGAGTTCTTCTTTGACTATCCTGCTCAAAAAGCCATTACTCCCCTACACACAGAGACACACTATCACATCATATTTTTCCCTGTTCCTTTTACTCTGCTTTATTTTTCTTTATAGCACTTGTCACCATCTGACATGATATGCTTGTTGTTGCTCTCCCTAACCGGAGATTAGGAGGAGACAGCAGGACTTTGCATTCTTCTCTTGGACTCACTGCCTAGAGTTGTGCCAGTACCTCCAGAACCATATTCAGTCAATTCACCAGTCCCCCTGCAGAACCTAAGGGGAACAGTTATGCTGACTGAGTTTGCAGCATTAGGACACTGGGAGCCACCACCTCTCAAAGCAGTCCAATAATGGTCCAGATGGTTCCAATCATCAGAGGTCTTTCTGATGAATCTAATCTTGCTCCCTGCAATTTCTAACCCAGCCTATTAGTTCTGCCCTCTGGGCCAACACAGAACTTATCTTTCAGATACTTGAAAACAGCAAGGGTGACTGTCCTCAGCTCATCACTGCTTTTCAGTTAAACAGGCTTTCCCTTCCATCATTACTCAGGCATAATCCCCTGAGATGACAGAAAGATGACATGTGCTTTGAGGACAGGTAACTAGACTTGAATCCAACCTCACTGTGTAGCCTGGAGCAAATCACACCTACCTCTCAGGGTTGGTTTATGGAGGAGGTTCATGTAGGTAAAGTTATCATAGTTGCCACAGGGAGTGAATTCAGTGGGTGGAATTCCTAAAGAAAGTCTTTCCCAGATCTGAAGACAAAACAAATTTCCTGAACCCCTCAGGCCATGCCTGTGACTGCCTACAGGAATAGGAGCATTGGACCCATCAAGAGGTGTTAGAGGATGAGACAGAGGCCTCGCAGGTGGCTTTCCTGATGGAGCCTGGGCAGTGCCTACATCTATATCCTCTTTGCTGAGGAACCTTTAGGGAATATTTTGCTCTATGATTTGATTTCAGGAGAGGCCTAGAAATGGCTACTATTAAGGATCTGGAGAAGGAAAATAGGACAAAGAACTGGACGACTAGTTGGGTTATGGGGGTGGGGGTCTCACTTGATTCTTTCTTGCTCATGGTAGAACTCCAGAAAGTTCTTTTCTACTGTCTGATTCTGCCTTTTCTTAGCTGAGAAATGCCAATTCTAAGACTTACCAGGATACAAGTAAATGCCAACATGCGTACATGCTATTCATTCAATGTGCTTCAACACATGTCACTGCACACTCTGGACATACAGAAATGATAGGTTATCCCTACCCCCCAGAGTCTCACTGTCTAGTAAAACTTTCCTTTGAGGGTATCAGTCTGGTAGGAAGGATGATCTAGGAAAACACCTACGTCTGAGGCACCACGATGAACATTCAGAGAGAAAGAAGCAGAGAGGCCGTGAGAACATACGGACGGACATATGTGGAATGAACTCCAACAGGGAGAAACAGGAAAGCCTCCTTGGGGAGAGGGTTTGTCCTCTCCACAATGCCACAGGCTTGTGGAGAACATGTACCTCCTTCGCTAAGGTCCTTCGCCCTCCCAGAGGATGTCTAGAGCAGGACACTGAGCACTGGATGATGCAGTTCTGATGATACAGAACTTACAGTGCTGAGCTGCAGGCTGAGGCTCTGGGTGATGTAACACTCTGCCCTTCTCTAATTTGTTGTCTGTGACTCAACCCTACCTGGGTCAATAAAATGCAGAGTGCAGAGCCAGCTTTCCCAGCATGTTCAGTATGCAAGCTTTTCAGTCCTCACCCTTCTCAGGAGACATTAAACTCTTGTTCCTGGCCTTAGCTGTCCTTGTTGTCCTGGCTGAGACTTCCTCAGGTAAACAGAACTGTGGAGAGGAGGGGAAAGGGAGCGAGAACGGGGTCCTACCCATGGAATCATTGGAAAACTGAACACATGGAGGAAAGAGAACAGCCCATGGGGCTAGATGAGATCTGACAAAAAGCCATGTAATAATGGGCGGTGCCTGTGGCTCAAAGCAGTAGGGCGCAGGCCCCATATGCTGGAGGTGGCAGGTTCAAACCCAGCCCCAGCCAAAAACTGCAAAAAAGAAAAAAAAAAGCCATGTAATAATTATGCCCTCATAAAAGGGGCAGTCTGCCACCCCAGACCTTTGATGGTGCTTCTCCCTGGGAACCTGGAGAATATCCACAGAGGCCAAAGTGTTTTATCTGATGTCCCTTCTAATGCAGAAGCAGCCTCAGCACCCCCAGAGTCCTTAACACTTCTGGCCCAAATGTCAACACTTTCATCCCAGGTGCCTGTCTCTTCACCCCCACTCTCCAGTTGACACCACCTCTTGCAGTAAATAGTCTCATGATTTCATCTCTCCTTTGCTGTTTGTCTTTGAAACCTCCTTTAAAGCAAGCAGAGGAGGCATTTTACTTTTCTTGGAATACGTGGTGAAAAATTTGTAGGTGGATGTCACGTATCTACAGGTTTGTAAAAAGTGAGTTCAAAATATGGAGCTGGGGTCACACTAAAAGATTCTGATTTCACATTGAACATGGCCAAAGGTCTCTAACTATGAGTCTTCATGGCCAGGTGGTGAATAAGTTTCCAATGAAAAAATTTTCCCCTAAGGCTTCCTAGAGACTCTAAAACTTATTGTTTTTAATTATGTGATTACTTTTCAGGTTACTGTTGTTGGAAGTCACATTTTCTCTTGGATCAGCTTTTCAAGCTGATAGTCTTTGCCCATTACTCAGCAGTTGTTCCAGAAACAAAAAGGGTTTTTGGGCTAACCCTGAGTCGTGGTTTGAGCTTCCCTTGAACTCTGATGAGGGCAGAGGAATAGAGGAGGAAGTCATATACCTGTGTGAGTGACACTTTGGAGAAAGGATCTGCATATTGACTCATGAGTAGATTAGAAAAGTAAGAGTCAATCAATATGGGGTGATTTTTCTGGTCTGAACAGCCCGGAGAGAAGGCAATTAGGGATTATCTCCCAGAAGGGGATTTAGAGGAAAAGGCAAGTAGAAAAAATCTGTAATTTAAACTAAGACTTCATAATCTCTCCACTGAACCCAATGTGCTGGGGAGCTAGGTCTGCGGTCTACATTGACCCAGGTAGGGCTGAGTCCCAGACAATGAATCAGAGAAGGACAGAGTATTACACCACCCTGAACATCGGCCTGCAACTCAGCATTGCATATTGACCATCCAACGTTTAGGGTCCTGCTCTACAGAACAGCGCCTGGGATATAGTACATGCTCGACTAATTCCTATGGGATAAATAACGAGTGGAGAGAGGGGAAGCAGATGGCTGAGAGCTTTGGTGCACTTCTTGGCAAATACCTAGATTTAGAGAGGAGATAGAACCCAAGTTAGTGAGATTGTGAAAAATGACGGATGAAAACATCACAAGCACAGGATAAAACTCAACTGGAGCTGGTTAGAGGATAGGAGTTAACTCTCCGTATCCACACATGTCATCACCAGCAGGAAGCATTCTGCATACAGTGATTTATAGCCTTCCAAAGAATGCCATTAAGGGTCAAAATCAATTATTCCTCGCTAACCATTTTTACTACTGCTATCACCAACATTCTTAGTATATAACAGTATTGATTTTTCCAAGTATTTATATACTCATCTCTGTTTATTTTGGTAGATGGATGGGCCAGAAAGTGCTCATATGGAATGGGCAGATGCAGGAAAACATGCAAAGAACTTGAGAGGAAGAAAGAAAAATGTGGGGGAAGGTATTTTTGCTGCATCCCTGGAAACTTTAGACTATCAGACTTTTGCAAGGATAAAGATGCAGTGGGTGAGCTACGTATCTATTTGAGACTTCTAACTTTCAAATTTTAGTAGTCATTTTGAGTCAATGAAATGGATATCTGGGATACTTCCATGGAGCTTAGATCCCTATCGAGTCTTCACAGGGTCCAGTAAAGAAAATATACTCATTCCTCTTATTAATATATCTCTCTAGCTTTCTATAGCCCAGCAATCTCTACATTGTCCCAGATGACTGATAATGGATGTCCCATGGTAAGGAAATTTTATAGCTCTCACAGTAAGGACATTTGATAGGATTTAGATCTTGAATTCCTCAGCCTCTGAGCAGGTGCTAGTAGGTCTCCAAATGTAGACATTTTCCAGGTTAATAACCAAGAGTCTTTAAAATTTTTTATTTTTATTTTTGGTGTGTCATTTCATTTATTATTTTTTTTTATTGCAGAGTGATACGAGGGTACACATGTGTAGGTTACGTTCTTTTCATTTCTAAGGTGAAGTTCAAGTTGCAGTTGAACCCTTCACCCAGGGGGCCTGCTGAACAGCCTCACACTGTGCACATTAATGAAATCCCACCAATCACCCTCCTCCTTTCCCCTCTCCTCTCTTTCCTCTACCTTCCCCCTCGCTAGAATATACTTCTGTTTGTCTTTTATGTGGGCTTATAGTTGTTTATATGTTGGTTTCACATTAGAATTGAGTACACTGGATACTTGTTTTTCCAGTCTTGTGATAGTTGACTAAGAAGAATGTATTTTCAACTCAGTCCAGGTAAACATGAAAGATGTAAAGTCTGCATCTTTTCTTATGGCTGAATAATATACATATACAACACTTTATTAATCCATTCATGGATTGATTCCATGTCTTAGGAATTGTGAACTGAGTTACGATAAACATTCTATTGCAAATGATGGCAAAATGTGGTAAAATGATTTTTTTTTTCCTGGATAGATACCTAATAACGGGGATTGCAGGATCAAATGGAAGGTCAAGTTTCAGTTCTTTGAAAAGTCTCTATACTTCTTTCCATAGAGGTTGTTTGCAATCCCACCAGCAGTGCAAAAGTGTTTCCTTTTCTCCACATCCATGCCAGCATCTGTTGTTATCAGCCTTTGTTAGATTTATAGCATGCAAATAACTTCTCTCATTCTGAAGATTGTCTGTTTGCTTTAGTTGTGGTCTCCTTAGCTGTGCAGAAGCTTTTTAGCTTGACCATGTCCCATTTATTTATTTTCCGTTTAGTAGCCAAGATTCTTATCTAATGTCTCACCCTGGAGAAATGAAATAAAATAATGGGACCCTGAAGGCTTCCTTTTGCCTTTCGGTTCAAGGCTCTGACTTATAATCTCACTCTGGAAATCAGTCTCTTACTTCAAGTTCCTAATCACACTAGACTGTCCAAGGATTGCAGTGCCCTTTGACCAGGGGACAACTACTCCTGCCCCTACCAAATGGAAGGGAAAAATCAGGTTTTTTTTTTTTTAATTATTTGTTTTGTTTTTTAAAAAGCCTAACATTTCCTTAGAACTCATCCTAGGTACTTTACACAAATAACCTCATTTGTCCTAACAATAGCTCTGTGAGATAGAAACTATGTCAGATTATATCCCCTTTGCCAGAAAGGGAAACTAAGTCATGAGAGTTTAAACAACTTGCCCTAAATGGCACAGTTAAGTTCAGCATCAGGACTTTGAACCCACAATGTCTGGGTTCAGACACGGTGCTTCCTCAGAATGGAAAAAGATTGCTCCAGTAAGCAAAGTTTGACTTTACTCTTCCCACCTACAACTAAACTCCTAAATGGGGAAGGTGTGGTGAAAGGAATATCTTTATGTGCCCTCTTATGGTAAAATATATAATGAACCCAGCTCTGACTGGTAACTAAGTACAAATAGAGATTATCCTAGGGTGCACTTGTAGGAGAAGCAGTTCCAATTTTGCAGACAGTCTCAGTTCAGAGGTGGATGCCAGTGAAGTCTAAAGTTAAAAATTATCCCTAGCCTCTGGAGAACACATCATAAACTAAAGGCAAGGTACAGGGATCATCACCATAATGGCAGCCACTAACTCTTCAAGCCATTTCTCAAGGGACATTCATATCACTTCTTTCGTTTTCCCTTAGTGTAATTCTATGAGGCAACATTCATGTCCTGACCTTAAAAGATGTCCTTGGGGTATCTGGAAGATGGATCAGAAACTGAGTCTCAGATTCGCTATGCACAGTGATTCCAATCAGTACTTCAACTTCAACCCAGACCGCATTGATCGATGACTGCAGAAAATCCTTAGAAGGTAAGCATTCCTGAATTAAGAGCTTGTAGTACATATATTTTTGGTTACAGAAATTATGCCCACAGATGGACCTAGGAGTCTTAGAGAGTTTTGTAAACATGATCCCAGGCCCATAATCCTAGAGAAGTGAGAGGGTACAGAGAAAATTCAGATGCACAAATAGGATAGGGCTAAGTCTTCCTACTACTCTGGGCCACAGTTTGACCATCTTCAAAATGGAAATGTTGGGCTGGATTATAAAGTTCTTATGCCTTTAACCCTTGAGGCCCTCTTCATTCTTTAAGTTATGGTGAAAATCCACTCTCTACCTATGACTTCACAAGATGCTCAGAGAACAAAAGCATGGAGGATAAAGAGAGAGACTGGGAAATAGGGAAGGTGGCCTCCATCTGAGTACATAAACTATAGTCCGAAAATACACCTTAGACACCTTCTTGTTCCACAGCCCTCTACACTACTCACACATCATGTCAGCCACACAGACCTTCTGAATCTGCATCTGTAGCACCTGCTCTCCATCCCTGCCTCTACTAGTTCTATTCAGCCACACCCTTTCCTTGCCCATTGATATGAAAGGAATTTTGTTGCCCTCCCCTGACCCCAAATATGTTGAAATCAGAACCCTGATGACCTCAAAAAGTGATTGTATTTGGAGACAGGATCTTTAAAGAGGTAAGTAAATTAAAATGAGGTCATTAAAGTGGGTCTTAATCCAATGTGACTGATGTCTGTGCAAAAAAAGATTAGGACCTAACCATTTTGCATATAATTATGATGCACAGGAAGAAGAACCATATGAAGACCCAGGGAGAAGATGGCCAAGGAGAGAAAGTTCAGAAGAAACCAATTCTATTGACCCCTTGAGCTTAGATTTTTAGCCTCCAGAATTGTGAGAAAATAAATTTCTCTCGTCTAGCTACCTGCTGTTGGCTCTTTGTTATGATGGCCCTGGAAGACTGATGCAGATCTACTGTAGCATGCACACCACACCCCATTGGTCTCTTTTTCTCTCTTCCCAGCTTCAACTCACTCCAGTCTTTCCATACGGTTGTCAGAGGAACATCTCTGAAGTTCAAATTTGACAGTTTTCTTTTTCTTCTCAAGCCCTTCAAAAGCTATCCAACCCTTACAGGATTTAGTTCTAAACTTCCCATATGAAAATCCCCCACCCACCTCATAGTTGCCTCTATGGCTCCTCCTCCCTTTCAATCCCCACCATAGACCTCACTACCAACCTGTGTTCTTGGTAATTGATTAATCTATCTTCTTGCCCTTCTTTTATAAGCTATCCCTTCTGCCTGGAAGGTTCTTCTTGCAAACCAGACCACCTCAGACCCCTCTGATGAGAGATTAAGTAAGGAAGAAAAGTCACCATAACAAAGAATATTTATTAATAAAAACAAACACCTATAAAATGAATTTCCACTCAAATATCTCACTCTCTTATTAGCCATGCCTCTCCCAAACCCAGAGGTCAATGTCTTCCTTGGTCTGATTATTTAAATCCAAAAAGGCACTGCAAATTATTTTGCAAAGTGACATTTGACTCTTGCTCAATAAGTAGGATTTTCTCTAGATGCTGACCAACATAAAATTGCTCTAATAATACACAAAGCCATTGATAAATGAGGATCCATGAAAGTTACATTAGCTGAAAATTGAAAAGAAAATCGACAAGAACGATGATGTAATAGGTACTTTAAAAAATATTGTTTGATGAATAAAGCATAAGGAAAAGCCCCAAGGAAAACTGATTGGAACCTGAAATGTTTTTGCAAATAACTATGATTGAGATGTGAAAAAAGGCAAACCTCCAGTGAAGTATTCTGTATCATAGTATCCTAGACTTTTTTAGAAAATTAAGAACATAGCCCACAAATGAACAATTCCATTCCTTGGTGAACTTATTATCTTAAGACAGTCATGTAAAAAAGTGCATGAATCTTAAATATAAAGATTCATGAAATTTCAAAATGTCACATCCCTATAACCAAGAAAAAGAACATTACCAGCAGTATGAAGCCCCCTCTTGCTTCATACCTAAAAGGTTACTATGATCCTGACTTCTATCAACCTAGTTTTTGTCTTAAAACAAAAACGAACCCATATCCCCAAAACCTATAACCCCCAAATCTCTTTTTGTTAATTAAAAGAAAATTAATAGCTTTAGAGATATAATTGTCCATTACTATGAACGATTATACAATACAAATCGGATAACCTAGAATAAACAGATAAATTGCTAGACATCAAAACCTACCAACACTGAATCATGAAGAACTAAAAAATCTGAACAGACCAATAAGGAGTAAAGAGATTGAATCAATAATAAAAGCTCCAATCAAAAAAAAGAAAAACCTCAGGACCTGATGGCTTCCTGTTGAATTCTACCAAACTTTCAAATAAAAACTAATACCAATCCTTCTGAAACTCTTCCAAACAGTTGAAGAGGAGGGAATACTTTGAAATTCATTTACAAAACTAAAATTACTCTAATACTAAAGCCAAAGAAATTACAAAAAAAATGACATTGAATATCTCTGATGAACATAGACTCAAAATTTATCCTCCCCAAATTCTAACAGCAGACCAAATTCAACAGCATATTAAAAAGGTCGTTCATCATGATCAAGAAGGCTACATCATTGAGATGCAAGAATGGTTCAACATTCCCAATTGAGTAAATATGATAAACTGTATTAATAGAATGAAGGACAGAAACCATACAATTTTCTCAACATACACAGAAAAAATGACTGGATAAAATTCAGCATCTCTTCATGATAAAAACCTCTTTAAAAACTAAGCATATAAACACAAAGGAGGTAAAGTCTCCATCTTTCTTTAGGGCTGCATAGTATTCCATGGTGTACATATACCACAGTTTATTGATCCATTTGTGGATCGATGGGCACTTGGGCTTCTTCCATGACCTGGCAATTATGAATTGGGCTGCAATAAACATTCTGATATCTTTATTGTAATGTGGAAAATGTTCTTCTTAGCAAAGTATCACAAGAATGGAAGAAAAAGTATCCAATGTACACATCCCTATTATGAAACTAATTTATAGTTCTCATATGAAAGCTATAACCTAATTATAGCCCAAGAATATGAGGAGGGGGAGGGGAGAAAGGCAGATGGGAGGAGGGGGGGTGATTGGAAAGATCACCTCTATGGTTTGTCTTACAAGGGTACCAGTGACTCTTTCTAAAAGTAGAGTATAAATGTCTTAACACAATAACTAAGTAAATATCATAAAGTCTATGTTAACCAGTTTGATGAAAATATTTCAAATTGTATATGAAAACACTACACTGTACCCCAGGATTGCATTAATGTACACAGCTATCATCTAATAAAAAATAAATAAATAAATAAATAAAAAGGAAAAAAAAACTAAGCATAGAAGAAACACACCTCAAAATAATGACTATAGATGACCAATCCACAGCCAAGATCATACATAATGGGGGAAAGTTGAAAGTATTTCTCAGACAGAATATGGCTGTGAGGTGGTGGTACCGGCTGCGGGAGTGAGATATTAAATATATCTAAGAAAACAGCTTCATGTTTTGTGAACTTCTCCAGACAACAGCAGATGACAGATATACAAGCTGAAATCTACCAGAAAAACCTGGAAATTGAACTCCTGAAACTAGCAAAAGACACGGAAGATGTTGTTCATTCTTTCTTTTTGGCTCCGAAGTGTCATACCCTGCAAAGCATGAATAATCATTTGGAAACAGTGTTAAAAGAGACGAGATCCCTCAGGCAAAGACTACTGAAACCCATGTGCCAGGAGAACTTACCTATTGAAGCCATTTATCAAAGATCTATGGTACATTTGCTGGAGTTGCCTGTGACTTTCATTGAGAAATTAGAAACTTATCTGGAAACAATTAGAAATGTACCTCATTTAGATGCAAATCTAAAGAAAATGAGCCAGGCTTTAGCAAAGATGGATGTTTTGGTGACGGAGACAGAAGAACTAGCAGAGCATATACTCAAGTGGCGAAAACAACGAAAGGAAGTTTCCTCATGTATCCCCAAACTATTAGCTGAAGAAAATGTTCTTCATAAACATGATATTATTACGTCTCCTTCACCTTCTACTTCTAAAGTTCATGCCCAAACTATTAATGCCAAATGATCTTCAACTTTATTTTTACTTAATTATATATACTCACATGAAGTCAAAAAAAAAAAAAAAAGTATTTCTCCTGGGCAGCGCCTGTGGCTCAGTGGGGAGGGCACCAACCCCATATACTTAGGGTGGCGGGTTCAAATCCGGCTGCGGCCAAACTGCAAGAACAACAACAAAATAGCCGGGTGTTGTGTCGGGCGCCTGTAGTCCCTGCTACTCAGGAGGCTAAGGCAAGAGAATCGCCTAAACCCAGGAGTTGGAGGTTGCTGTGAGCTGTGTGACGCCATGGCACTCTACTGAGGGCAACAAAGTGAGACTCTGCCTCTACAAAAAAACAAAACAAAACTATTTCTTCTAAGAACTGGAAAAGGACAAGAATGCCCACTTTCACCTCTCCTAGTCATCATAATACTAGAAGTCCTAGCCAGAGCAGACAGGCAGAAGAAAGAATAAAAGGCATCTAAATTGGAAAGAGCAATTCAAATTATCACTGTTCACTGATGATATGATCTTATATCCAGGAGAGCTGTAAAGACTCCACCAAAAATCTCTTTTATTTTATGAATGAGTTCAGTAACATTTCAGGACATAAAATCCGTGGACAAAAATTAGTAGTGTTTCTTTATGCGAATTATTATCTGTCTGAGAACCAAATCAAGAAAATCCTATTTACAGTAGCTACAGAGAAAATACATAGGAATAAATTTAACCAAGGCAGTGAAAAATCTCTACAAGAAAAATACAAAACAATGATGAAAGAAATTGAAGAGGACACAAACAAATGGCAAAACATCTCCTGCTCATGGATCATAATAACTAATATCACTAAAATGACCATGTTGCCTACCACAACCTATAGATTCAATGTACCAATACTACCAATACTAACATTTTTCATAGAATTAGAAAAACCATCTTAAAAATCACTTAAAAAGATTGCGAATAGCCAGTCAATCCTAAATCAAAAAGAATAAAACCTGAGGCATCACATTACCTGACTTCAACTTACACTACAAGGCTATGGTAACAAAAACAGCGTAGTACAGGTATAAAAATAGGCGCATAGATCAATGGAACAGCATAGAGAGCCTAGAAATAAAGCCACATCTTTATAACTAACTGATCTTTGGCAAAGTTGACAAAAACATAAGGAAATTACACTCTTTTCAAAAAAAATGGTATTGGGAAAATTGGGTTGCCATATGCAGAAGAATGAAACTCAACCCTCTCTCTCTGACCATAGACAAAAATCAACCCAAGATGAATGAAAGACTTGAACATAAATCAAGCACAGTAGCTTGTGCTTGTGGTCCCAGCTACTGAGCATGCTGAGGTGGGAGGATCACTTGAGCTCAGGAGTTTGAGTCTGCAGTGATCTCTGATCACGCCTCTGCACTCCAGCCTGGGTGGCAGAGTGAGACCCCTGCTCTGTAAAAAAATACTTTAATGTAAAACCTGAAACTATAAAAATACTAGAATAATGCCTGAATATTGGTCTAGGCAAAGAATTCGTGACTAAGACCCCAAAAGCACAGACCACAAAAACAAAAATAGACAAAGGAGACTTAATTAAACTAAAAATCCTTTGCATGTCAAAAGAAATAATCAACAGATGGAAAAGACAACCTGCAGAATGGGAGAAAATGTTTCCAAACTATGCACCCGACAAGGAACTAATGCCTAGAATATACGAAGAACTTAACAAAAACAACCAAATACTCCCCATCAAAAAGCAGGAATAGGAATGAATAGACATTTTTCAAAAGAAGCTATACAAAGGGCCCACAGGCATCACTAATCACCAGAGAAATGCAAATTCAAACCACAATGAGACATCTCTTACACTGGTCAGAATGACCATTGTTGAAAAGACAAAAAATAACAGACGTTGACAAGGATAGGGAGAAAAGGGAGCTCTCCTACACTGTTGGGTGGGAACGTAAATTAGTACAACCCCTATGGAAAACAGTATGGAGATTTCTCAAAGAACTAAAAGTAAAAATACTATTTACTCCAGCAACCCCATTACTGGGTATCTATCCCCCAAAAGGAAATCATTATATCAAAAAGATACCTGTGCTTGCTTGTTTGTCATAGCACTACTCACATAGCAAAGGTGTGGAATCAGACTAAGTATCTATCAGTGGATAATTAGATAAAGAAAATATGGGAGCTATATACATATATACACATCTACATACATACACACATATATACACACGTAAGTCATAGTATGTGTGAAATACTATTTAGCAATAAAAAAGGAATGAAATCATATCTTTTGCAGCAACATGGATAGAATTGGAGGTCATTATCTTAAGTAAAACAAGTCAGACAGAAAGACAAATACCATGTGCTATCACTGATAAGCTAAATGATGTGTAACCTGGACATAGAGTGTGAAATGATGGACTTGAAGACTCAGAAAGATAAGAGAGTGGAAGTGGGTGGATGATGAGAAATTACTTAATAAGTTCAAACATGTATTATTTTGGGTGATAGATACCTTAAACCCTTGAGTTCACCAGTGCACAATATATGCCTGTAACAAAATTATACTCGCATGCCCTAAACTTAGAGAAATTTTTTCAAAAGAGAAAATATTAATTAATTAATTAAATCCTGTGGAATTAACACAATAAACATTTTATTTTCTCAATAGTGTTGCAGACCCATATGGTACACAAGGATTTCTGGAAGTCTTTCTTCTGAGCTGTGATTCAGTGGTCTGATTCCCATCCATCATGTGACTCCACCATCTTAGAAAAATGTTCTTTACTCAGGGAAGAAGCCTGATCTTCAAGAAGCGGGCATCACTTCTCTCCACATCCCACTGGTCAGAATTTGCCATGTTGCCCCCATGTCGCTGCAAGAGAGGCTAGGATATGGAGTTTTAGGTACTCAGAGGAACAAATGAGATCGGTGAGGAATGACTGTCGTACTCTGCTGCCATTCTTAGGGCTCTCTAAAGGCTCTGACCACATCCTACTACCATGTACCTATAACTCAAAGAATACTTACCTGAAATGAATTACAAGGATATAGAACAAAGTTCCAATAATGCCGGTCATGACTCTTTGATAACTATGAAATATGGAAAGATGATGTATTTCTAAGATTTTTTTTCGTTTTCTCAGTGCCCCTGCTCTGCCAGCACCCCAATTACAGACTTCTAATGCTCACTGAATATTCCAGCACTGTCACATCAGTGTCTTCTTTCTCTATATTCAATAAATATTAGGTATCCCTAACAACCACAGAGAGCTAGATTTGGAACCTTCCTGCCTCCTGGTGGAAACATGTAGCCAGGACCAGAATCTTGAACCCTCATTTTCCAACCAGAATTTACTAGACTACTATGCTATTAATAGTTACCTTCTGCATAAGAGACCACATAAATCTTAGAGGCTTGAATCCATGATTTTATTTAGCTCATGATTCTGTGGATTGACTCAGCGATTCTCCAGGTCTGATCGAGTTTGGCTAATCTCTCTGGATTCCCTCAGCTGGCAGCCAAGTGGTGTTTGAGTGACCCAGGACAACCTCATTCTGTATCTGGGATTTAAACACATGTCATTTAGGGCACTGTCGGTTTTTTCTACATGGTTTCTCAACTTCCAGCAGGCTGGGTTGGATTCATGTACATGATGAGAAACAGGGATGTGGAGAAAAGGGAACTCGTATGCACTGTTGGTGGGAATATAAATGAGTACAACCCCTATGGAAAACAGTATGGAGATTTTAGGGTCACCGGGGCAGCAATTAGGTGTCACAGGTCACAGGTGCAGCTATTAGATAAAGCCCAAAGCATAGTAACTTTCCAAGTTTATGCTTGCAACATTTTTGCTAACACCCTGTCAGCCTAAGTTAGTCACCTGGTATATTAATTGGTTTAGTGTCACTATAACATAATACCCAGGGCTTGGTAATTAATAAAGGAAAAAGGTTTGTTTAGCTCATAGTTCTGTAGGCTGGGAAGTTCAAGGCCATGGTGCTGGCTTCTGGCAAGGTCACAGGGGGAGCAGGCATGTGTGAAAAAGGGACCAAACAGGAAGAGGAATCTCACTTCTTATAACAACCCACTCTTGTGGGAACTAATCCATTACCGTGTATGAGAACTCACTCACTCCTTTGAGATAACACTAATCTATTCAGAGAGGATCCAGCCCCATGACCCAAACACTTCCCACTAGGCCCTGTACCCTCAACACTGCTGTACCGGCAATTAAACTTCAACATGAGTTTTGGCAGGGATGAGCCACGTGCAAACCATAGCATTTGGCAAAAGCCACAGTGAAGTAGCAGCAAAAAGTTTTGTTGGGTTTTTTTTTGGCTGGGGCTGGGTTTGAGCCCACTACCTCCAGCATATGGGCCAGCACCCTACCCTTTTGAGCCATAGACACCACCCTGGCAAAAAGTTCTAAATGGAACTTAATGGAAAGATCAGCAACAGCCCAGGCAAGGGCATTGGTGCAGAGAGGGAAAGAACTGTCAGCCTTTTACAGTTTTTGATATTCACAGAGGATTTTCTTTATAGATCACCTTTACTTCAATAAATGCATTATTTTTATTAATAACTAATTTTATAACATATCAACTTCTGAATTACAATTGAATCTTTCTGTGATGATACATTAAGATTTCAAAGTATGTTCCTCACCATAGCCTGGCTCAACTTGAAAGATGCAACAGAAAGCCTCCCTCTGGATAGAATGTCTAACTCTTACTCTGATAAGTTTCAGAAAAATTATGCTTTCAAAGAATAAGGCTACAACAATTGGAGATCAACACATTGTGTGCAGTCTTGTGGAGTATCCTGGCCTTAGCTCTTAGTCTCTCAGGTCTTTTTTAAAAAAATGATCATCTAATTAAAGCATTAATATAACACATCTAAAGAATGGCACACAACCCTAAGTGTATAGTCTTATGAATTATCCCAAAATGAACAAGCCCATGTAACTATTACTCAAGTCAAGAAATAGAACTTTGGGCCGGGCACAGTGGCTCACACCTGTAATCCTAGCACTCTGGGAGGCTGAGGTGGG